ACTTTTCTCCTTGCTCTCTCTTCATTGTTTAATCCTTAAGTTCTCACTTTCCATTTTACTGTGTCATACCTTTCAATTTTTATTTCTTCTTGTGAGTTCTTACACTAGGGAGACAATACCATATTTATACATGTGGGTCTTGTGTCACTTACGAGTATATCTTCAAGTTGCATCCACATATATATGAAGGCTTCAAGTTTATTTTTATTTACAGCTGAGTAATACTCCATTGTATAAAAACACCACATCTTTTTCATCCATTCTGAGCTGTAAAAAGCTCATGTCAACAACTTCAGACAATTGCCAGTTGTGCTGATAACTCATTTCTATTATGGACTATTGGGCTATGTTGGGTTATTTTGCTTAATTCAAGTACCTACAATCTTTGGTCTAGCATCAAATATGAAAAAGTCCTTTAAAGACTTTTCCAAATATAGTGTCTCTAACAACAATGGAATACCCATCTCTGACAAAACTAAACAAAAAAGGGGGATATAAATAAAGGACTGTTTATTTATTTATTTTTTGGTCTTTGTATGTGTATGAAAATATATATATAGGTATACACAAGATAGGATAGATATACAGCTACTTTCTCTTAATTCATTGAGAGGAAAGTTTTGTACTAATATCGTTTACACAAGCTATCATGTCTCCATCTTGTTCTCTGAATAACTACTAGGAAGACAACAATATGCAATTAATTAATTATTGAAACTGTCATACTAACCTGTCCTGAAACTGTTTCATTGTTATTTTACCTTTTTCTCATTAAAATGAAAAGTAGATAATATAGCAACCATTGTTAATTAGCTATCCCTGTTCTGAAAATCTGCAACGTATGTATTGTTGTATGTTACCCTATTTCTGTCATTTTTTCTATTTGTTTTTGCTTCTGTTTCACTCTTCAAATTAAAATTAAATTAAATTAAATTTTTAAAAAGTAAAAAGGAGATGGATTGAGGGAGAGGGGAAGAGAGGGATAGGGAATAAAAAATGAATCAAGATGTATTACCAACTACATAAGGAATGCTAATATTATTAGTACTAACAAGTTTTAATAAAATTTTAAAGCATATGAATTGATTAATTAAAACAATTTTTCTAATGAGAAAACCTCTTTCTACAAGGGATGTGTGTCTGAGACTATGACTACTTAAGTAGTTTTCTGCCACAAATGTAAGTAGGAGGTCCATAGATGGAAAAACCCATAGATTCTTGCTTCCAGGCACAAAACATAAAGGCCAGCATCACAGCCCCCAGCCACAGAGAGGCTCGCTTCTTAAACAACTGGTTACTGGTAATAACAGAACTCCCAAGTGAAGCTGAGAAACATGCAAATTAAAGATTAGTGGCTATGATTCATGCTTGTTGTGATCCTAGGATTTCTCAGAGCCTTTAACATACTTTCTATATTCTTAAAGATGAATTTCGTTCTGCATATTTGAGGTTATGTGGGCTACATGTGGATAGCAGAATAGTTGTAGTGATACAAATTGAACTACCACTTCAAATTGTTATTTTTTTTAATGACAGCCTCCAACATCCACTAATTTAACAAAAATCACTAGTAAAGTACAATTGTGATAACTGTAGTTCTCACATACATAGATTTCTAGACTTGTTCCTAATTTCAAAGAACGGAAACATCATAGCATGAATGTAATTAACCAAATAATCCCATTTTCCTAGACACTCTTGGGTCTAGCTCTAGCATTTCACAGGAAGGACTTCAGAGAATACTGTGTGGGCATTAACAAATGTACACTACCAGGGCTGGGGAGCTAGTAGCTCAGTGGTCTAAGCGCCTGCCTGGCAAGTGCAAGGATCCGGGTTCGATCCCTATCACCATACACCATGCCAGACCCCAGTGCTGGGGAGGCTGAGGTAGGATGATCACTATGAGTCTCAGCTGCATAATGAGACCCTATACCAAAGAAAGAAAGAAAGAAAGAAAGAAAGAAAGAAAGAAAGAAAGAAAGAAAGAAAGAAAGAAAGAAAGAAAGAAGGAAGAAAGAAAGATTTTTTAAAAATGTCTACTCCAAAGTCATTTTCTACATGTAATGAGTAGTTGGTTGGAAACTGGTGATATCAGAATGTTGTAGTCCCCAATAATCTCAAGCTATTAGTTGACTTACCAAATGATGCCCTATAACTGTAAATTCAAGAGTTCTGAATGAATCATGTTCTAGGCAACATTTACCTCTGAAATTGTACAGTTTCGTGATGGAGGGCACCAACCACTATCTAGGCTTCTGTTGAACAAAGTATCAAGGGCTGCTCAACACCGTCGCCCTGGAGACTCGTGTCCTGTATGGTGCTTACTTGCTAAGAGTTTAAGGGCCCCCAGCCTCACCACACACCCCTTAAATCACATCTGGGGGTGTGATCATTTTACTTGTCTCAAGATAAGGATCCTTTGCCACAATTTAGATCTTATTATCAGTTTCCCATTAATTGATGTATATTTAACATCAATTATGATGCTGCAACATTAATTTGCCAGGACAGTTAGTTACTCAGTTTGCTGGACCTTTTGTCCTCAGTATCTACTCTAAGATTATTGCTGGGCAACATAAGCCTTAGATATACCGGGATTACAGAACTGAAATCTAGGTGTCATCCTCTCATGAAAACTGCAATCTGAAAAGAAGAATCATCCCTCAAGATGGTACACTTTTCAAAAGGATAGCTGCAAAGAAATCCAAGAAAAGTTCAGAACCAAATATAGAAACATGTAGCTTAGTAGGAAATCTTTTTTATTTTATTTTATTTTTTTCTGTATTTTAGAGAAGGGTTTACAGGGTCTCACTACTAGATCAGACTCAGAGTGAGTCTACTGTTTACAGCCTCCCATGTACTGGGATGACAGGTGCACACCACCATGCCCAGTCTCAACTGCTATCTCAGCGTGCCTTAGGGACGGGGCCAGCATGGCAAGCCTGGGAATTGAATCCCCACGGCTTGCAGGGACTTTAATCTGCTGAGCTATTTAGCCGGCCCAGAAATCAGTTTTAAAATCTTAATATTTTTATCTATAACTGTTAAATATCCCTAATGGAAGTACAAGAGTCAACAATGATTAAATTTCAATTGGAATAAACCAAAGAGACTTCTTTCCATGACTCTAGAAATGCCTCAAGTCATGCTCACCAGTGATTTTTAGAACAATATGGTTATTAATATGCATGCTATTCTTTCACTTTTTCTGAAGTATTTGAGATCACACACAGGGCCACAAGCATGGGACACAAGTGTCCCCCCACAGAGCCACGTTCCACCCACTCATGTGTTATTCTTTCAGAAACAAGAACATGGGGAATCCATTTCCCTACAGATCACTTGAATTGAAGCTTCTTTGTGACTCATTATTACTCCATTGTGTAAAGATGCCACGTATTTCTGCATCCATTAGTCTGTTAACAGACACGTTGGCCATTTCACATGTTAGCTTTGACACCATAGTGCTAAGTGAAATAAAACACACTCACACACATAAATGCTGCCACGTTTATCCTAAGTGAGAAAAACAAAGTATGCATAAGCAAAGGAGTAAAATAGATGGTGGACAGTAGGAATCAGGAAGATCTTTTGTAAATGAAAAGGGAATCTAGAGATGACAGGAGAGAGAGAGGAGTCGAGAAGAAATAAATACGACTAAGAGGTGTTATCGTTCCAGCGCTAACTGCCTATGATGAAGCAGATCATTATGCACTGAAACCATGTACTAACAAAGCATGAAGAGCCTCCGACAGCTGATAGGGGTCTGAAGCACAGAAGCCAGAGGCAGTCACAGACTCCTGTGAGGAGGAGTAGGAAGGCTCACTGAACGCCTGCACATGGCGCATCTGCGTTCCGGCCTCTGGCCGTGCATCAGTGGAAAAGTCACCTACAGCCTTATTTTTATCATGAAGAAAGCAAAAGTTATGCAATTACTAGCAAATAACTTCAAAAAGCTCACTGTACTATAACAAACCATGCACATTTGCATTACTGGATTCTACCTGTTCTTGGGGGCGCCCTATGGAGAGTAAGGACCCCATTCACAAAATATGGATAGATGAACTTGGCAAACCCCAGACCAGAGAGATATTATAGAATCATCTTCTTCCATAATCCTTGTGTTTAGAGAAGCTAAATTAAATTATTAGCTTTAATGTAGAACTTATGCACATAAGAAGTTCCAATTGCAAGTAAGAATTCTTCAGGGCCACCCAAATAGCTCAGCAGATTAAAGTGCCTGCTTAGACAGACTCAGGGGCCGGGGGTGGGGATCGATCCCAGGCCTGCCATTGTGTAAAGATGCCACATATTTCTGCACCCTGCATTCTGCATTCTGCATGAATGGGTGGAGTGTGGGAGGGCACGTGTGTCCCATGCTCGTGGCCCTGTGTGTGATCTCAAATACTTTAGAAAAAGTAAAAGAATAGCATGCATATTAATATTTATGTTTTAAAAATCACTGGTGAGCTTGACCCTGGGGCATGCTGAGAAAGCAATTGAGACTGGGTGTGGTGGTGCGTGCCTGTTATCCCAGTTTTGGGAGGGTGAACACAGGAGGGTAACTACGAGTCTGATCTATGTAGTGACACCCTATGGATCTTATACTAAAATACAAAAAAAAAATTAAAATTAAAATTAACAAAAGAATTCTTCAACCTACTCATGACTGTTAGGATTTGCATGAACTCATAAGCCCTGGAACTCTATGTATATTCTAATCTCATTATAAATATCATCATCGAAGGAGCTGGGGAGATGGCTCAGTAGAATAAGCGTTTCCCTGGGCAAGCGCAAGGGTCTGAGTTCAATCCCTGGTTCCGTGAAAATAAATAAATAAACAAATAACATCATTGTTACATACAAAATGTTCCTTTAGTTTTTATCAATGCAAGAGTCACAAAAATGTGATTAAAACTGTGCATCAGGAATCCTCAGGGAGCCCAGCACACATTGGTTATCTTGATGAGCAGCCAGAAACAGCCACAACGAGGCCCTACCTCATGGGGAAGACGGCCAAGCAACAAGCTGTCCGTGAGGGAGGTATTTGCATCACTCTCCACGATGTCAATTCCAAAATCTCTACATGAATAAACTTGGAAGTTTTTCAGGCGAAGATTGCTACTCCTGAAAATCTATAAAATAATAGCAAATGTTAGGGCAGAGGTCGCGGCTTGGTGTTCCTGCAGACTTCCTGAAAGTTCCTTACTTACTGGTTATGTGTAAATAAGCACGCCCCGCCATGCCGAAGCTGCTTTTGCTCCCCGATGTAGGCGCACGCCTCCCGCAGTTGCTGGGAGCTCGGGACACCCAGCCTCCTCCAACAACACCCCACCCATGCTGTACGCTTCTCCTCATAATAAGCAACACATTAGAAACCTGAACTCTCAGTGTGAAATCTCCGTATCCTTAGAACAGTCTTGCAGGGGCCAAATCACGAAACAAATGCAGGAAAACACAGAATGACGCTCCAGTGCTTAACATTAGCTCAGTGTAGTGTTAACTTTTACGGTCAAAAGACTACAAATGTAAAACAAGGGACTCGCTGCACTGCGCCCCCAGGCCACTGTGCATACACCCAGCCCTGACGCGGGCTGTATGCACAGCGACTCGTGCACCTGGTATGCATGTCCGAGTGGGGATTAAGCAGCTGCAGAATCAGTATGGCAGAGTTGAAAGTGACACTGGCCTTCCAAACGGGGCCACCGGCTTCACACAGCCCTGATGGCCATTTTGTCATCTTTGGCAACACATTTAACCTCCCCTGGGCCTTGATTTAACCACCTTCAAAAATCAGGCTGGAAGTCAGATCTAGAAATTAACTTAATACAACCAACCCTTTATTTATTAAATCCCTAACTGGAAGTCTCTTAATAATTAAGGCCTGAGTACCTGGATTTATTGTGCCATCATACTTTCTGTATAATGACCAGTCCTTGTCCCATGAATTTTGAATATGCATGAAGTAAGCTTTTTATAAAATGACAGCTCCTTGAAAACAGATTTATTTGAAAGTATGCATGATCTCTCCTGACAGCTTGACAGCTGTTCCTTAATAGCAGACATGCACAAATACATGTATTCACAAATATATTCCAAAAACAGCTAGCACCTCGCATTGGCAAAGGAACTTGAGGATTTTAAAAGGAAACTAACAGGGAAACTGCAAATACACCTGTTGTTCGTGCCATGGTCACAGTCTGCTCCCATCTTTCCCTTCTAGAAGAATCCTTCTGCGTTTGTGAAATGTGGCGAGGACAGGTGTTTTTCTCAACTCTTATTTAAAATAGAAACTAAAGGGTCAGTTCACTGCATTCGATACCAAAAATTCCTTTGTGTGTAACTTAGGAAATATCTTATCCTGTAGTTATCTTTCAAAAAAAAGGAGTAGAACTAATGGTATATCTCCCCTCAAAATTTAGATAACTAAATGAGTATATGCTGATACACTAGCAATTTTCGGTTTGATATCACTAATTGTTGGAGAAAATGCAAATTAAAATCACAAAAAGATATCACATCAAGGGGCCAGGGAGATGGCTCAGTAGAATAAGCGCTTCCCTGGCAAGCTCAAGGGCCTGAGTTCAATCCCTGGTTCCACCCAAAAAAAAGATATCACATCAGTTCTGGCAGAATAGCTGTATCAGGTAAGGGTTTTTTTGTTTGTTTGTTTGTTTGTTTGTTTGTTTCTTTAAAGAATTTTATTTTGATGGTACCAGGGATCGAATTCAGGACCTTGCACTTGACAGGCAGGTGCTTATGCCACTGAGCTACATCCCCAGCCCCTCAGGTAAGTTTTGATGCCCACTCTTGGTGAGAAAGTAAATCAGTACAGCCATTGTTGAAAACAATGGGGACTTTTCTCGAAGAATTAAAAACAGAACTATCATATGATACAGCAATCATACTCTTAGATATATATCCAAAGGAAATTGGGGTAGGAGTAGGTCAAGGGAATGTCTGCACACAGTAGCCAAGAAACCCATCAACTTGATGAATGGATAAAAAAGAGTGATTAAATATAGATATCACTATACCTGTACCTGTATATGATGGGACACTATTCAGCACTCAAAAAGAAGGAAGTTCTGCACTCCCACCAACAGTGGGGAAGGGGTCCTTTTCCCCACAGCCCCTCCAGGATTGGTTATTTGTTGATTTCTGTATGATAGCCATTCTTTCTAAGGTGAGATGGCGTCTCAGTGTTCTTTTAATTTGCATTCCTCAAATGAAGAGTGCTGTGGAATATTTTTCATGTATTTATTTGTCATTTGTATTTCTTCCTCTGAGAAGTATGTACTCATCTCGCATGGCCAGTTTTGGATTGGGTTCATGAATTTGGGGGGGACTGATTTCTTTTTTAGTTCTTTATATATTCCAGATAAAAGTAAAGGACATTGCTTTAAGTGTAACCAGACACACACAAAAGAAGACAGAAAGCCACATGTCCTCACCTATATGTGGAATTCAAAAAAAGTCACTCCTACAAAAAGAAAAGCTGCTACCAAGAGTTGGAGGGTCTTGTGGGAGGACATGAAATTTCAGTACAATATAAAGAACACTTTCGAAGGTACAACAAAGTAACTGTAGCTAATTGATAATGTCTTCTTTTCTCAGAAATTGGTGTGAGTGGACTTTAAGGATCCTTGTTACAAAAAAAGGGCACATGAAATAATGCTGATGTTAGTGGACCCAGTTAACCATTTCTCAATGTATGCATGTTCCTAAACATGATATTGGACATGAAAAAATACATGCACTTTTGTCAATTAAAAAGGTGTTAATTAGGAAAATTAAATTAACCCAATGAGAATAAAATAAGAATTGGACCTACCACAATATTGTGTTTAAGCATCTATATGCATGACAATAATGTCTAAGTGGCCAGAAATAATTAAAATAAATGATACTTTTTGTGCTCCAAATAGAATTTTTCAATCTTACAATTTCCAAAGATGTCAATAGCAACATCAGTCCACCATCCCCAATTCTTTTTACTAAAAGTGATAATAAATAACAGCCTAATGCCACTGTGCACTCCTGAAGATTTAGCACTTTCTATTCAGGAATTTTATTATTTTTGATTAACCATAAGGTGTACATATCTATGGGGTGCATTGGATCTGCAATATTCAAATTGGATTCAGAATATCTAGTGCGTTAAACATTCATCATGATGTGAGGGGAAATTTAATATCCTTTCTTCTATTTTGAAATATATAGTGCGTCATCATCATTTATAATCATCATATTGTAAAAGGAATGCCAGAACTTGTTTCTCCTATCTAACTGTAAATTAACACTCAGGGACTTACTTAACATTCAAAAACATGATCCTTTAGATACTATCAGTATCTCCATTTGGCAAATGGAGCAGGACAAGTTAGGAGATTTCCCCAAAGTCACTCAGATGGGCTTTGGTATTGTCTGAGAGTTTGTATGACTGTGTTTATGGGTTACTTTTTATAAACAATTTAATGGGAGAATAATTTGCATACACAAAGTTTATAATTCAGTGCTTCTACTATATTGAGAGATACTACTCCTTTTTCTTTTCTCTCTCTCTCTCTCTCTCTCTCTCTCTCTCTCTCTCTCTCTCTCTCTCTCTCTCTCTTCTGTACTGGTGATCAAACTCAGGACCTTGGCCTTGCCAAGCAGGTGCTTATGCCACTCAGCTATCTCCCCAGCCCTATATTTAGAGATATGTGTGAACATCACTATAATCTTAATTTATTTTTGTATAGGGAATCAAACTCAGGACCTTGCATTTGCCAGGCGGGCATTTATGCCTCTATGCTATCTCCCTGACCCTATCACTACAATTTTGGAATGCTTTCATCAATCCAAAACTCATGTCCCATTCCACTCCCACCATTACTGTCCATTCTCTACCCTGAAGCACCTACTGCTCTTCTGTCAGGCTCAAATTTTCCTCGTTGGAACTTTTATTTGAGTAAGTCATGTGCAGCTCTGATCTGATTCTTCCACTCAGTGTGATGTTCTCAAAGTTCACCTGGTTCTGAGTGAATAATTTTCCACTGCAGATACACCATACCTTACCCATTTGTGTATCCATGAACATTTGGGCCATGCCTACATTGTGGCCATCAGGAACAATGAAATAATGATGCTGCTCTAAACATTCATGTGCTGCTTTACATTTGAGCATATTACTTTTTTTTAGCATATTACTTTTTATTCCTCATGAATTGTACTTCTGTAAGTGAATTGACAGTTCACCTTATGTTTAATGATTTGAAGAACTTCCAGGTTGATCCTGAAGTAGCTAGACCCTTTTGATTTCCCACCATGAGTGTTTCCCACCATGAGTGTTTAAAGGTCATACTTCATCCACATCCTTATAAACCAGTTGGTGTCAGTTTTATTCTAGCCCCCCTGCTGCATTGGATCCAATGCAGTTGGGTAGCATTTACCTTTGCTTTTCCATTTCCCTAGACACTCATGATGTCAAAACTCTCTTTAGTTGACTATCAGTCATTTGGACATGTTCTATGGAAAACAGTTTCTATTCAGATAATTTGTTCAATTTTTAGTTGATTGTTTTTTATTGTTGACCCATAACAACAGGCTATTGTCTTTATATATTTGTACCACAATTCCCTTGTCAGACATATGGTTTGCAAATGTGTAGGTCACGTTTTCACCTTCTTCATGGTGTTCTCCAAGGTGTTAACATTTCTAATTTTGATGAAGTCCAGCTCATCTACTTTTTTGTTTTATTGTGGTTGTTTTTATTGCCATGTCTAGAAGTTCCATAGAAAATGAGAGTCATAATGCTCACCCCTGTGATTATGACAATTCTTGCTCTTCCATGTAAGTCCCTGACTCACTTTTATTGGCATATATAGTTAGTCAGGATGAGAATCTTCAGCAGATTTTTTAAACTAGCAGTTAATTGGCAGGATTATCTGAACTTTCTGACTTACTAAATTTGAGAGGACAAAAATTTAATCTCCGGAGCTCTATTTTTCCTTTATCAGGTTTAGTATTTCTGACTGTAGACTCTTTAAAAAAGCAGAGTTCAGTAAGTACCTTTTAATTTGTTTCTTAAGAGAATGTCTCTACATCAGGGCTATGGAAGAGTAAGAAGATAGAAATCAAGCTTGCTTCTCAGTACACAGAAGGCATCCCACAGAAATCGCTAATGGACAGTCACCCTGGTGTCCAAAGGGTTCAGGGGAAGCCAAGCATTTTATCCAATGAAACAAAAAGGAAGCCCTGCATACAGTTGGGAGCCTTGTATTCTAATTATACATGGGGGGTCCTCATTCACAGTTAATTTCTTTTTCCCTGTGTTGAATATATGAAATACAGTTTTAGCCTTTTAATTTTGACTTGATTATATTTGTTCTATCTCCTGAGTGCTCTGCAAATGTATTTCTTCACCTATGTATCTTAGGCTCCAGGCTTCTAATTCCCAGAGAACAAATATATTCTCAGTGTAGCATCAAATGGTGACCCTGAAAAATGTATAGTCATCGCTATAATCAATGATCATGCAAAACTTCCTTGGAAGAACATTCTTATTGTAATAAAAAGGAAAATGAATTAGGTGTGTGCTATTTTTTTGAAAGAGATAGAAGAAAATTTAATTTATTGACTAAAGCAAGAATGGAAGCTTGAGCTAGATTTGTGTACCAATGATAAGCCATTGGTACACAAATCTAAAAGCCAGCTTTTTTCAAGACTGACGTGTGTGCTATTCGAGATTTTAGACTATCGCATGCATAATACTTGTGTCTCGATTCTGTACCTGGTCATGCTGCTAAGCACCTCTCCACGACCAACAGTCCCTCTGCAGCCTGAGCCATAACGTATTATCTGCAAGCAGGACTAGGAACCACGAATGCATGAGCCTCGAGGACATAACTCTGCTCTCTCCAAGGACTGCTGAAAAGTCTCATATAGGAAAAGACGTCAACCTAGACTGCAGCCAAGGACTCCACACCATGACGAGGGTGACACTGGCCCTTCTACACTGTGATAACATTATAATCCTGCCCTCAGGAAATCCTTCCCATTTCAACAGAGATGACAACAAATTGTGGGGAAATAACAAGTAACAGCTTCAGTTTTGAAAAAGCTTCAGAAACTTACCCGAGCACCACCTGCACTTCCCCAAACCGTGAAATTTTGGAAGAGAGTGAGGCCAGTGTCATGGTCCCAAGGTGGCTGAAACTTAGGGTACACAAAGAGCCCGAACCTTAAAAAGTAAAACAACAGAATGAAAGTAAGATAACTGCTGTCACTAAGTTTCCACTTTTCGTCACTGCAATTACAGAAGGTTTCATACATATGTTTAAGTTACTACATGGTAGGTACACAGAACTATGGGTAGCATGTGATGGTGTTCCCACATACGGGTATCAACACGTGCTGAAGTTCTCACGGCCCTGTCTTTTCAGTGGGGAGCACTGACAGCAGCAGCCACAGTATTTTTTGCATCACACCTCATAAGGTCACTCACAGAGTACAAGCGTTTATCTCTCCTCCATATCTTTGCCCTTACTTATGTTATCCACTCTAACTTCTAGGGGAATGATACCTCGCTATGATATTGATTTTATTTCCTACTGACAGCTTTAAGCATTTTTTCATATACTTTTTGGCAACTTGCTTACCTTTCTTTGAGCAATGCCTCGTTTTTTGTTTTGTTTTGTTTTTTTGTTTTTTGCGGAACCAGGAATTGAACTCAGACCCTTGCACTTGCCAGAGAAGTGCTTATTCTACTGAGCCATCTCCTCGGCCCCCAATTTTTTTTTTTTTTTTTTTTTTTTTTTTGTGGAACCAGGGATTGAACTCAGACCCTTGTGCTTGCCTGGCACGCGCTTATTCTACTGAGCTATCTCCCCGGCCCTTTCTACTGCCCATTTTCAAATTGGATCATGTGGGTTTTGTCATTGAGTTGATATTCTGGATATCAACCCCTTATCCAATATAAAGCCAATGGATATGCACAAGTGAAAATAGATACATCCTGTGACCCTCCTAAGGTCATTGTTCCTGCCTCAGCCTTGCTACTCTACTTTGCTCTGTGACCTGTGCCTGGTTGCCACGGTCATGCTGTTACCTAGCCCTCTCAATTGTCCTCTGCTCAGGACAGTGGACACCAGCACTGGTAGTGCTTTCACGTCTTGTTTTTGTGCTTGCAGCTCCCTACACTGCTGTCCTCTGGTCTGATGCTTTCTTCCCTCACCTTCAGCACTGCTCAAAGCTGCTGAACACTCATGATGATAATTTCGTCACATGTGGACGGGTCTCAGCCTCGGCTGGCCCGTCAGTGTTGCTTAGCAATTCGTCATATTCCTTATTCTATTCTTTTTTTTTTTTTTCAGTACCAGGGAATGAACTTTGGACCTTGCGCTTGCCAGGGAAGTGTTTATTCTACTGAGCTACCTCCTGGGGCCCTTATTTTACTCTTACCATTCCCCACCATGACTTAATGATATTACCACTAATAATATTATTACATATCTGGCTATCAATTATGAGTTTCTTATTATGCTCAGGATGCTCTTCTTAATGTAATATATCAACCTTCTCTAATTTTACACCAAACTTTCAGTGTACATTTGTCCCCACATTATAATCTGATGCTTCTCGCATAGGGGACTGAACCAAGGTCTGGCACACAGTAGATAAGTGCTCTAACATCTGCCTACACTCTCGGCCCAATGGATCAGATTCTTCAAGAAAAGTAAAACGAATTTAGTAGTTGAGAAGTTAGGACTTGAAGCGGGGCTTGGCTGAAGGGAACACTTGTCCTGTGTGTCTCAAATACGGCCCCCAGCTGGCTTCATGTGCTGTTGTTCTTAGCAGGTAGCCACTCTGTCTACATGGCCAAGACTTTGAATAAATCTGTTTGTCTGGGGAGCAGCCAAGTCACCCGCAACCCGTTTCTGGGGTGGATCTCTCCACTGGGGCCTGCCAGCTTCCCGGGGCCGGCAGGACAGGTGTTCTCAACCACGCTGAAACCCAGTTTCCTCTCCCTCCCCTCCCCCTCTCCCTCCCACTCCCTTTCCCCTCTCCCTCCTTCCTTTCCTCTGGCGTCCTAACTAGCTACAAAAGTACATTCACGCTTTGGCAGGTTTGTTCCATGACCCTGGTCCCCTTCCTTAACCACCAACATTCTGTGATCTAAAACCTTACACAGCCAAGCAAAGAGGCCACCTGAGTGTCCATCACCGGATGAATGAACGGAGAAAATCCGCTCAGGCATACAGTATGATATCAGCCTTCCAAACAAGGAAATATTGCTATCTGCACTGACATGGACAAAGGTCAGGACAATGTGCTGGGCAAGGCCGACACAACACAGGGGCAGAAATGCTCCCCTTTTATTAGAAATCTTATGCAAAGTGTTGCTTATGTGCATAAATGCATGACTCTTATACAAAGTGTCAAAAACAGAACATAATTCCCAGTACCAACAAACAAACAGAAACCCAGAAAATGAAGTGGTGCTTACTGCAGGCTGGAGGGAAACAAGCAAGCACTAGCCAAAGGACACAACGTTTTCCCTACGAGACATGAGCAAGTCCAAGAGACGCCCTGTACCTGTATGACCTGTAGTTGGCAGCAGCACAACACTGTATAACCACAATTCATGAAGAGGTCAGATATCTTATTTTAAGTGTTCTTGAAATAATAAATAAGCATACTAAGAAAAAAACTTACAGTTGGTGAATATATTCTGGGCAAAGATTGTAGGTTGGCGTCTTTTCTTCATTCTTACTGAGTATATACAGCTAAGTATGTACAGACATTTATATGTCAATCGTACTTCAATGACATGACTGAAGAAACATCTGTACTGTGGCATCTCCAGCTCTCAAGCAACCACCGACAGTTGTGTCCTCAATGAGCATCCTACAGAGAGGTGGCAAGTCACAGTCGATGTACCCCAGCTGCAGGTGGCTTTTCCTAGTTACCTTGTGCAGGAGCAGGCTGTGTTCTGGGTGAAGGAGAGGAGGGGAGCTTCTGATGTCTCACTGGTCACAAGATGAAAAAAATAGCCATAGCCAGCCACAAACACTCTGTTCCCCTACAGAAATTAAGAAGAGTTTGAAAAATAATTATTCCATGTGTACTAAGGTTGCTAAAAATTAGAAAGATTCTTACTTGCACTTTGTGTTTTTATACAAACACTTTGTGTTTACAGTATAGAAAGGCGTGTGTTCCTTTGGGGGATGTGTGTGAGAACAGTCACTTCCGGTCGCTCTTCCCCTTGTCTTCCCATGCTTGGCCCCTTCCACACTTCCAAAGTCTGCCTTGTAGTTTCCCATCGCATTGCCTTTATTTTATTTGTTGATTTATAGTTCAGCTTTTTCATATAAGAGAAATAAATATTTAACCTTTATTTCATTTAGAAGAAAGTCTCATGCTGAAACACTTCCAGTCTTACTTTTCCCCTCAACATGAAGCTAACCTCTTGTCACCCTTTTGCTAGGCAGCTATACACAGACTTCAACCTGCCCACCTCAAGAACTGTATCTTAGATGAGGGCCTTCTTTGAAGCTTCTGTTGTGAGGCGATGACACCTAACCTGAGCCTCTTCCCTACATTCCATGCAGAAACACACAGTGGCTCCCTTGATCACTCTCTGCTTCCTGCCTACCCTGTCATGGACTGTTGCTTCTTTGTCACTCTGCCCCATGTTGGAGCCAGCCAAGTATGGACTGAAAGCTCCACAAAATGTGAGCCAAATAAACCTCTCCCTCTTTAACTTGCAGGTGTCAGGTGTTTTGTTTTAGCCACAGGACAATAGCTAAGACAGAGGGAGACAATATTGTACATCTGAAGCACCGTATTATGGTTTGTGTCTCAGTGTCCCCACAAAGCCTCATGCAGTCATTGGGGCAGTCTTTCAGTTTTTGTGATTAATTCATGATCCAGTGCTGGGATTATGGGTGTCAGTATTACACCTACCCTAGGGTGAGTAGTCTCCACACAATACAGGGAAGGGAGAGAGGCTTGCTAGCACTGTAACCACTGCTCCTCCCTTTGTTCTTTGCTGTCTTCCACCACCATGAGCTGCTGCCCTCTGCCATGTGCCACTCTGCCTTGGAGCCAGCCAAATATGGACTGAAACCTTCACTAACTGTGAGCTAAATAAACCTTTCCTTCCTTAATTTTGTATGTTGGGTAATTTGCCCCATAAACAAGGGCAAAAGTAACCAAGATACACTGGAAGTTGCTCTAATGCCTCTGATGTAGGTGATCTCTGACCTGATAAAGTGAACCACTTTTGTATCCAGGTAAACCTGGACAACCTGGCCACTCAAGTCCTGGAAGATTCTCAAAGAGGAGAGACACCCTAGTAAGACACTAGCAAAGCCACTGTGAAGAAAATTTCCTAAAATTAGTTATTCTTAAGCTAATCATACCCAACTGCCTTGCTCTTGTAAAAAGGATACACATGCCCCGGCCTTTGCAGCCCTTAGGTCTCTGGCAAGTGTGGGCCAGGCCTGGAGCTTGCTCCGGGACCAGCTGCCTAACTGGCAGGAGCAGCCAGCACTGTACTGGGGTGCCAACTCATGCAGACACAATCACCAGTAATCATGGCCATTGTCAGACTTCAGGACTTCAGCCGTTATATGTCCTGGGCCCAAAGGCTGTCCTTTCCTGGGTGTTTACATAAAGACAGAGAGTCCTCATATTTTTAGAGTTGTAAAATGCCTTTTTCCCTTGTGGATAAAAAGGAAACTGTGCTCCACTGCACTTCATTATTTAGATTCTGAGCAGCTCTCCTATTTCCTATGGCCAGTCACAGCTTTAGCCGTGTGTTTTGCTGAGTAACATGTGGCTTTTGGTACTCTAATTTAAATTACAGTCAAAATGTTAACATGACTTCAGAGGATCTGGAACATCTCTAGAACATCACTGATCTTGGAACACATGGAATCATCGTGTGTAAGGATCATCAACCAAGGATAACCAGAAAACGTTTGGAAACTTCCAGAGACCGTTTTGATGACTACAACTCAAATGGTGGAGGAAACTATTACTGTTATTCAGTAAGTGAGGCCAGCAACGCCGTTATACAGAGGACAGAACCTTCCACAAAGGATGATTTGGCCCCAAATAGTCACTCTCCTTTTCTATAATCTACGCTGGAGCCACACATTAACAAAATAACTCCTATGCCCACTCGCCAGTCAGTGTCCTATCTTCAAATTTGTCAGAGTTCATATCCCCAATACGAAACATAGTCCATGACAACAAAAATTCTTTGATAGTCTCTATGAGAAGAGTATTTACATTATTCACGACAACCAAGCTGGCATTCGCCATTCCCCAAGAGAATATTTTCTAGCATTAAATCAGTTACCTCAACGCTTCCCTTGTGCTAGAAACAGGATATACACTAAGCCGTGGCCATAGGCAGAACCCCTGACTCTGAGCTGGTAAGTAAAAGTGCCCAATAGATCTCCTTAGCATTGACTGATACACACAGCGACACCAGAACCGCTGTTCTCAGGCAGGATTGCACAGCAAAAACCTTTTCCAGGAGAGTGCACATGTAGATCCACCTCCTAGATAATCTGTCCTAGGAACTACAAGTCCTCACCCATGACCTGCATCTATGATGCACAGAACCGAAGATTTGAGAACTGAAGGTCCGAGAAGGGGAGTGGCCCTTCAACACACACCTTTCCTGCAACTACCCAAAACGGTGAGAAGTGTGCACTTCAAGCTAAAGGTAATAATCCCACTTGTACACGTATGGCCCTTTCATTACCAGTGAAATGTTCAGTCATTGCCAAGACTTTGGGAGAAGGAGAAAGTTTCCAAAATTTCAAAACTAGAATCCAGGAGCTATACTCTCATGCATCAGCCCGGCCAACAGAGGTGTTGAGAAAGCCAGCATGCATTTCCGCTGACTCAGCACCATCCAGCTGACTCAGCACCATCCCTGCTCGCAGGCTTCTGAGCAACCGTAGGTAACTGATAGTTGGGCGGCGGATCGCAAGCGCCATCTTCCGTTAGCTGTCAAGGCTCACTTCTCTGATGAAAAAAGCAAATCAGCAGTCAGATCGCATTGCTTCGCAGCTCCCTTCCTCATGGTTCCAATCAGGTGTGCTACAAATGATTCACATATTTATGCAAGCAGCCAGCGGCTGGTGGGGAAGGGTTTAAGGCAAGCAGGGAACTTTGTGTGGAAATCAATTATTTGCGGAAGTCAATGTATTATGGACATTCAAGCAGGAGAAATTCCAGAGAGAAATTAACTGCCCAAGTAAGCCAGCTCCTTGAGGTGCGCATCTATAGTCACGAGAAAAATGTGAGTTAACCCTTCGGGCAGCTCTTCAGTATGCATTGCCTGTCGAACAGGAGGACGAGAGAACTGAGGCTGGGCCTTTAACCAGGCTTCCTTATGAAATCGATTCACAAACCAGGACAAATTCCCCTTCAATTAGATGAACGTCTCCAAAGGGCTCTTCTTTGGGGGTTTTCCACAGACTATCCCAAACAAAACCCTGCTCCTAGAAAATGTCCAACCACTACATAAACATGGGGAGCTCAGCACCTCTCCAGCATGAGTTCTCCTGCTGTCCAAGAGCGAAATCTTCTCAGCCTGTGGAGATGGAAATAGGGTCACACAGGTTTTGTGTTCTGGAAAGATGGACGGATATAAGGAGCTGCCGTGAAGAGGCCGGGGTCGCAGAGGCCAGGGTCACAGAGGCCACGGTTGCTGAGGGAAAGCACACGGGGCCTGGAGTCCATCCTTCCAGAGGCCACAGGGATATGGGGGATCCACTGCCAATCGCTGTGAAGCACCCGGTGAAGGCCTATGAAGGACTGTTCCTACACTGCAAGACCCCAGGAGACGCAGACACCAGGCCACACCTGAGGCCTCACTGGTAAAAAGGCACAGAGCTCAGCTGTGGCCTCGCAGAGAATCATCCCTGGATATAATTCAACAGCAGCCTGGGCAGGCAGACGGCAGACCACCTGTGGATGGAGAAAGAAAGCAGTGCCGCCCTTGAATCCCTCTGTGCTTCGCAGGGCAGAAGCTAAGTGGACTGTGAAGGTGACTCACTGGAAGCCAGGTGAATTCCTTCCACTAAGAGTTTGGTCCTAACATCAGGATCAGGACCATTCAAGAATAACGTAAAACCATAGACCATGGCACAGACCTAAGGATCTCTCCCCCGCCTGTCAGGTCAGGGATTTCAAAGGTAGACTCATGTCTGTGAAGAAAGAGGGTTTTGCCCAGTTGTTGCCCAGATAAGATGAAACCACCTTCTTCAATTAAGGCATCACACCCACACCCCAACATGGCATCTTGATTTGGATACTATTCCATGCCCCTGGTCACATTAGCACGGTAGGAAGCAGGTAAAGGGCACATGGGAACCATTCTTGCAACATCTTGGGCGTCTGAAATTATTTTATAATTAAAAGTGTATAATAACAAAGAGGATTCTAATTAATCACAGTAATGCAGTGATATGCAAGGCTTGAGTACATTCCCTTCAGGAGATTTCCAACCATGAACCAGTGACACAGCAGGACATGAAAGCCACAAGGCATGAGATATAGCTCCTTGGAGGAAAGGAAACTCTCCCGAGTACCAGAACTACCTTGAAGTGGGGTAGTTCTTCTGACTACATCCCTCTCTGTTCTGTAGAGAAGATTGCACACACGTACATAAGCCTGCACATGTTGCTCTTATTGTCATCTCCACCTTATTCCACTGGAACAAAACCCCATATTTCTAAAATGCATTCATCAGAGTACTAAGAGTATCATCCACCGAGGACTTATCCTCATAACCACTAATGTCCTACTTGCTCAATGACTAGAATGACTTTTGTGGACCCTCAAGGTCAAAGGAAGCTCAGCACGTTTAGGTTTCCCACACCTGCCCTGCTATCACTTGTGCCTTCAGTAACTACACATCCCAGAAAAACAGAACTTAAAATCCACAGCGTAACAGAAAAATAGTGACATCATTGAAAAAACTTGAGCCGGACTTGGCCAGATTCAGCACGAACAGGTCGGTGCCACTTTCCAGGATTCGGATGCTGCCACTGATTGAAATGTTATCGTCTTCAAAATGATTTTGGAATATTAGAAGTTCTATTGTTTTCTTTCTGCCTCATTCCTAATCTTTGTTTAAAGGCTTATGCTAACATTTATTCATCTTTCATAACATGTTTTTGTTGAGCAACTATAGGGTTTTAGACATTGCACGAGGATCTAAAAACTAATAAGCAAATGAAAAGATAACTACAAAATTTTAGGGTTGTTGGAGATGAACGTTTCACAAATACACCTAGTAAATCTGTTATCAACTTGCCTTCAACACACATTCTCAAAACACATGCACTGCATTTTTAAAATTTTATACATTTCTCTATATCTATGAGGAAAGAAGCGAATGGAGAGGAATGAAAGATGTCTGAAGACAGAGAAAGTATCTAGTTCCAAAGTGAACTTCCCCGTGGCTGGGTGGGTATTTTGCACAGGTCTGTCCACACAGGCTAAGGTGACCCACTAGCTTTCCAGGTGGCTCCTGGCTTGCGGCACCTGGACCTAGCTCCTCCTCTTCCTCTCCGCGAGTGCCCAAGATACCTGTCCTGGAGACGCTACAGTGCCTATCCAGGGAGCTAGGTATCCTCGCCTCAAACAGGAGGACAAGCTGGCCGACCCTGAGGGCTTCCTTCCCAACACGCATTGCAGGGTAGTCAGGACCACTGCCCAAGAAAAAAACACAACAGTGTGGTTCTCTTGGGGCCCCAAAGCCTTGGCACAGATAGGCAGTGAGCCCTAAAGGAAAGCTATGTGCAACTTGCCTCGCTTTGGGCTCCATACAATCCAAGCAGCCTCCTTCCTTTGCTGCGACACTAGCCATCCTATCAGGCACCTAAAACAGTATGTAAGCGCCATGCTCAGCGTAGATGCTATTAAGAGTTTAAGGAGGGTGGAACAGATAGCCACAGCATTCATGAGGGGTGATTCAGCTGGAGGTAATTAAAGATGGATGATCAGGAAGACAGACACTCATCCTCTGAGCCCCTGGAAACAGAGCGATTGTCCTGCTGTGAGACCCTAGAGCAGCGTCCTGAAAGGGGTGGCACTTAAGCACTTCCATAGTTGACCCATGAGAGAAAAGAACTGCAAAAGGGAAAAGAAATGTCCTCCCATTATTTTGATGCAGTTGCAAACTCACAAATCTATGATTAAACTGCGCAGCAAAGTGAACAGTTAACTGTAATTTAATTTCATAAAGTGGTTAAAAATTTCCCAAGAGAAATTAATGTCAAGTTATATTAAATAATGAGATAAAAAATTAAGATCACCGAAGTATCCTACATCCTCCTAAACCCTTCCGTGAGCTCACGCATTGCACGATTTCTGTCTCAAACACTGTTATAAGGAAACAATAAAGCCACATTAATACAGTAAGAGGGAAAAGTGATTGATGTTGGACTTGGAGTAAACTCAGCATACAGGGTGGATAAGTGGGGAAGATATTCATACTTTAGTTTGCATTCATCTATGTTTTATATTTTCTTTCTCTTTATATATATTAATTTTATTGAGACAGAAGTAGCAATAAGACCGTTTCAAAACAGGTTAGGTCAGTTAAATTAATACGTTGCATATTGTTGTCTTCGTAGTAGTTACTCATAGTATAAGATGCAGATATGATATCTTGTCTAAACACTATTAGTTCAAAACTTTCTTCTCATTGAACTAAGAGAAAGTAGCTGCATATCTATGCAAACTATTTTGTATATACAGATACATATTTTTTTCACTGCATAATGGCCCTTCATTTATATCCCCTTTTTTGTTTACTTTTGTCAGAGATGGGTGCATTCATCTAAATGACCAGAAAATGATCAATATTCACTGTTTTGCCCCATATAAACATTGTTTCAGAGGTTTTATAAGAATTCTCAGAAAATGACTGAATGCATTACAAAGTACCATAAGTTAATTTCTTAATGTGAGTGAGTGACAAACATTGTGCACCATGTCGCGGGCTCTGCTGCGCCGGGTTCAGCTGCAGTGAGCTGTGTGCCCCTCAGCTCGGACGCCCCCTCCCCCTGACCGGGGGAAGCTCTCACCTCTATCACGTTGGTGGGGCTGCGGATGTACATGCCAGCCGGCGTCAGCATTTCGGGACTGGAGAGACCCTCGGCACCAGAAACGCTGATGATCATGTTGCTTCTTATTATATTCCCCTGTCCTGGCCAGCCTTGTTCTTAAAAACATAAATAAAACCCAGGGGTTCACAAATACAGTTAAAATTTATACAACCCAACACTTTTCATTCTGCTAACATACATCCTAGTTGACTTAATATAAACATGGATGTGTGTTGTTGCATCTTTAGAAAACACTCAGCTCAAGAAATTTAAAACCTCTAATATTTTTCTGTATAAAATACGTGACCATTGCAAATGGATTGCAATAGATTTAAAATCAGTGTACGTATTTACCATGTTTCCTTCTGAGAATAAACTCCCAGGGGACATAGCTTGTCTCCACATGCGTCCCTGAGAACAAAAGACTATGTTATCTCAGTACATTTGATGCCACTTGGAAAAACAAGAGCCATTGCCACACTTTCTTTGGGTACTGGTTGTTTTGTTTTTCCTGTGTTTTTATCTATGAGTGAGGAAAGGAATGCACATGATATGGATCTCTAGCTCGGGAGTATCATGCATCAAAGTTCATTTCCAATAAAACGAAGAACAAAAAAGTACATCTTTCTTTTTCTCCCGTGGAGGAGTCCAATGGACTCTCCTGGCAGACGCTCTGTCAGCCCCAGCCTTGCTCCTGGGAGATCAAAGTGGCCTCCAGCTATCTGCATGCCCATCTCCTCCCCAGGAAGGTCTGGAATGTTCTGGAGGAACCTGCCGAACGTCCTGAAGGACCAGGGACCTCACACTCAGTGACTAGACTGAGAGAGCACACGTGGGCCGTGAGACAGACGAGTCACTTCCAAGTGTCAGCAGGGAGCTCCACAGAACCTGTTCTTAGCGCTCCGTCTTAACGTATCCCTGTCCCCTATGCCATTTCACAAGCCTGAGTATACAAACCTGTTAAAACAGAATGCTTTACCCCCACCCCTTGCACTACATTAGATGCAAGAGCCCATAATGCCCGATATCCCAGCCCAAAAGGCTGATTCCCCCAATAGTTTCTCTTTCCTGCATGATTAATGTCTCTCCTGTTTCTTTGTTTTCTGATAAAGTAATAATGTTAGGATAGCTTCCCAGATTTCTGCAGGAGGTTTTGTCCCTTACACAGACAAGAGTAAGCACAAGCCATATAAAAGCCGCATCTATTATGTGACTCTCTGTGTCTGTCCTATTTCTCTATGTCCCGTTCCAAATCATCTCGAGAATCTGTAGCTCGGCATCTGTAGCCTCCGAGAACTGCAGCAAAGCAGGCTTGTGTGGTGGACGTTCGCTCAGTAAACAGTTCGCCTCTCGTGACTGGCACCTGTGTAGAGTTTTGTGTCATTTTGGTTTTGGAGACAGGGTCTCCCAAGGTCATCCTGAATTTAAGCTCAGAATGGCCTGAAATTTGTGATCCTCCTGTTTCCGCCTCTCAAGATCTGGTATTACTGGTGTTTACTGCCATTCCCAGGTGGACTTTATAGCATTTATCTCAACAGATTTTTCTTAAATAAAGTTACATTTTCTCACTAGTATTGGAGTTAATTTAAATATAAAAAACTATCATTTACCAAATACAGAAATAGTCTTACTTTTAGTGAATCTGATTTACTTTATCATTTTGATACAACCAGAGACCCTTTGCTCTCTTATTCATTCATTCCTTTCAACCGATAGACCTACAGTGCATGAGTTAATACGCTAAACTCTAAGGGAATAATGTCCTCATGGGATCTGTAGTAAAGTGACATTAATCAGATGATCAGAATTATAACACATTTAAATCAAGAAGTGCTGATTACAGACAGAGCTTAAATACAAGGGCTAGACTTGGGGTGTTGAGAGAAGGTCCAAATGGCTTGGGCTGGGGAGATAGCTCAACGGACTAAGCACCTGCCTAGGCAGCAAAAAGGCCTGCGTTCAATTCCTGTTATGTATGTCATGCTGGCCCCAGAACCTGGTGAGGTGGCGCACACCTGTAATCCCAGCACTGAGAAGGCTGAGACAGGAGGATCACTATGAGTCTGAGCTGTGTCATGAGACCCTGTACCAAAGAAAGTAAGTAAGTAAGAAACAAACAAACAAACAAATATTTTTTTTAAAAAAGCAGGAGTGGCTTGAACAAAGAGAAAGTACTCTACAAAAAACATGCAAGACTGAAGAAAGTATGGTTTTTGAAAGGATAAAATAAAATAGATCAGGGTCACTAGAGTTCGGAGGATGAGAAAATGAGAAAGACGGGTTTACAGAGATTAACAGAGACCAGAAAAAAAAAAAAATCACTGAAGCAATCTTTCAAACTATATCAAAATCTTCATTTATATTCTGACAGTGATAAGAAACCCTTAAAGCATTTCGAGGGGAGGAAGGACACGACACAATTTGAGATTTTCCTAAGGTTTTGCAATGAACTTTAAGAGACAAGAGTGATCTTGAAGCATGGATGAGTCCACAAGCCGCAGGAGCGGTCTGACAGCCTGTGAGATTGTACCTGCATATATTTAAGCAATTTAAGATTATCATGAAACTATCTGGTAGCATATTTGAAATTTTTCCCATCACATATTTGTTAATCTGAACTGAAACTTGAAAAAATCAGTTTCTTATTGACCAAGTTTAGTAAGTCAATCAATGGGGACTATTTAAATTTAGAATTTTTAACCATGCCATATTTGTAGTGATGAGAAAGCCAAAGTTTTGTAAATTGGGAATTAAAGATTTGGGGAGAATTCCCTGTGAAAACCCAGGCATCCTACTCAGGAGTACAGAAATTAAACAAGCGCCTTCCACTTACCCACCAGCAGTGCATGGCCTGAAACCTTATAGAACACGTTGCTGTCCAGCTCCAGGCCCCAGGCCCCCCGGAGCTCGAGGCCTCTGCTGAAAGAGTTCCAGACCGTGCAGCCCTGCATGTAGGAACCTGAGCAGGAAAGAGGGAGTGGAATCACACCAAGACCGCACGGGCTCCCAGGGTTCTTCTGGCCACATCCAACGCAAACTATGCCATAGCTAAAAAATCTTCCTCCTACCAACGAAACTCAGAAGCTGAGTTTGAAGAGGCAAATGAATCAAGAAAATGGGTACCTCAGGATAATAGCCCTTGAAGAACAACAGGCTGCAACCCAAGAACCAAGTCTTTGAAAGGAAAATCATCTGAGAAAGAGAAAGTAGAGCCAAAGCACAAAATAACCCATGGCTGTCAGGATTCCCACTGGGCCAGCACCCTGGCATAAATTTTCATCACAATATGGTAAATGAAAGGCCAGGGGCTGTGGAGAGAAATATTTACGGATCAGCTCTGACCTTCAAAGACTGCATCTTGAGGAGGAGGTGTGATCATTATTTCTTGAGTTGTATCTTATAAACAAATTAATATTTACAACTTGCAAAGCAATGATATTCTTAGCCCAGACTGGACAGAGATTCCTATTCCAAATCATTACCAAGACCCAATGGTGGCCTGGTAATCCTGACCCTCACACTCGAATACAGACATTGGTGACGTTAGAGGGAAAGTGTCCCCTAGGATGCTAAGGGGAATCAGCAGTTAGGAAAGTCGTTGCCCTGGGCCTAGTCTTCACATCTGTGGCCCCTAAACCGGATATACGGTCTCGATCGGTCAGTGAATACGTGTGTCCCAAGAGTCCACTGCAGTCCGACTGCACTCGAGGGCATTTCAGTCCGTGCCGGGCTCTGCAGACGGAGGTAGGCCCTTAAAACGGGAAAGGGAAGCCCCGATCACGTGGCCACACGGCAGTCAAAATGCTTAAGCATGAACCATTACTCGTGCTTGTGGCCAGGCTGGTGGGGAAAAACACTACACCACCAGTAACCAAAGTACAGCACGCACGATTCTGTAGACTACATACACTCAATAGTCACCCTTCCTGCTTTCTTTTTGCCCTTCCTCCATCTCAGTTACTGGGGAAAAAGAAACGTGGATATATACAGGATGGCTTAGATAATCGCACTGCTGATCTCTGCTGGTCTATTGAAAGGAGCAGTTAATGCCTGATGTGTTTCTCTCTCTTCTTTTTAATTTTTTGACACATTTTGCATGCTTGTTTCTGGTAATCTGAACAACTAACTTGAAGACAACAATATGCACTATAACAACCATTACTGAATTCCTATTGTTTTATTTAGTGAAATTCTGTATCATTTCTAATTTTTGTTACTAGTTTTCATTTTCTTTTAAAAAGTAAAAAGAAAAAACTGTTAGTGACCATTTAACTGGTTCATGTTCATTATTTTAGGGTGCAGTCCTTGTGTTTTGCTGTAATACAGAACACCCACAGTAGCCTCATACATTTCACGTTTACCTCCTTCCTTCATCGCATTGACATAAAAAATAAAATCTATTATTTGAATAAAAATCTTGAAAAAGGAGCCTAATATTATTACCAGGCAGGAGAGAGGATATATAGGTGCCATGTATCTAGCATACTGGTTTATGGACTATTTTGACTTTTAAAATTGGAACTACCCAGAAAATTCTCAATTTAATGCGATGTAGCCCACGGGTCTCTGCATTCTCTCAGTTGCCGGTGCTACAGTCGTAGGGACCCTTGTATCACTTGCAAAGCATCCGCCCTATAAAGTTCACCTCACATACATGCCTCATTCAGGACACGGCCTGCTGCAGATTTTTCCCTAGCTCTGAATCTCCACCACACAGCTCCAGCACAATCTGCCTGTCCCTCTGGACAGCCAATAAGAAGGACTGCATCTAAGGAGCCCTATGTGTGGAACTGAGAGACTGGTGAACCCTTTAAAGCACAGTGTGAACAGGTTCTTCCCCCTCACAGTGTCCGTTGTACCTTTCAGACTTTGTTTACCCCTCAGGTTCTCACACTAGCAAAACAACACGATGCTTGCACATGCGGGTCTGATTTATTTCACTTACCAGTATGGTCTCCAGCTGTATGCATTTATTTATAAAAGCCTCAAAGATACATTTATGTATATATGCAAGAAAGCTTGGATAGTTGTGCTGCTGACTCCTGGTGTTCTACTGAAAGGAGCAATTAATGCTTCATTCTTTCTGTTTTCTTCTTTGTTTTAATTTCTTGTAACTTTTTTAACCAATTTTGCATGTCCATATCTGGTAATCTAAACAACTAATTTGAAGATAACACTATGTATTATGGAGTACAACCGTTGTTGAATTCCTATTATTTTTTTTAGTGAAATTCTGTATCATTTCTAATGTTTTCTCTTTTTTTGCCACTTTGCATTCTCTTTAAAAATTAAAAATAAATAAAATAAGATAATATTCATCAAACTAAAAAAATAAAGGTGCAGTGTGAAGATTCCATGCCTCCTACCTCCAGAGACAAGGCCCAACCAGCCAGACAGGCTGGGAGCCCACAGGGTGTGAAATAATGAAGGGCTTTGGTGGGCACGCCAGGGGTCCCCAACGCCAGAGTTCATCTGTACACCTTGGAGTAGGCCAGGGATCCCCAAAACCAGAGTCCATCTGTATGCCTTGTAGTAGAAGAGGTTCATCTTTATTTCAACAGGGACTTACAGAGGATAATATCTGTAAGCTGTGATTTCCAAACATGTTTGTAGGCATTAAACCCTCTTCCCAACAAAATCAAATATATAGAAATTGATAAAAGGGTAGTTACTCCATAAACAAGGTGAGAAAAGTTAAATAGATTTTGAATAAACAGGTTTCATGTCCAAATTATAACTTATGTATGACTCCTGTCCTCTCCTTTGCTGCAGCTGGGGTCTGCATCCAATATTCTGCAGCACTGCATGCAGCAGACAACCAGAGAACAGAGGACACACAGGTGCCAACTGACCCAGCGTGGTAGGGAAGGTGTGGTGGAGTGACTAGTGGTCAGCTTGTAACACCAGCTGGACTGGGTCAGCGTGGTGCAAGTGCAGAAGGCCCGCCTAAGGGTTGCTGCCAGAAGCACCAAAACAGCACTGAAGAAGATGGTGCTGTTGATGCTCCTGGAGAAGGCTGTTGTGCTGGCCTTCCTGCTGTGGACTTGGCTGTTTTCACCCGGCGAGGAGCTCTGGTCCTTGCTGTCTCTGAGGACGGCTGTGGTTCTTCTCAGGGGAACTCTGGGCCTTACTTTGAGCATCACTTCCTGGCCCTCTGGAGCAGCCTTTCCAGCTTCTGCCCCTGACCTTTGGGCCTTCCCAGTGCAGATCTTTGTTACAGACTTGCCTGAGACATTGCTGTGGGCTCTAGGTTTTCAGCTAAGTTTGTGCAGGACACTGCTGTGGGATCCAGGCCCTCAGCTGGATTATTTGAATCCCTAGCGCATGGACAGATCTCCCACACTCTTTTGCATTTGACACTTTGGGTGAACATTATACAATATTCCTATAAAGTGTGTGTCCCATATTAGATTTTTTCCCCAGGAGACCCTGACCACAATTAAAATTTTGACCATATTAAGAACTATCACCCTAAATGAGTGGAATAAATAAACAAGTAACTGGAAGATGAGAACAGATGCCCTAGACGTGCAGATGATGTGAAATGGGGGAAACTGTGGTTGCTAGTGAGAGACTCCACCTGTAATTCTTCACCAATCCCTCTGTCCTTAAACTCAGCAAAGGTTCAAACCCATTTCTCAAGGTCATGGACAGTGCAGAGCAGACGTGATATCTTTTGTTCAGGCATCAACTTCTGAACCTCCCCAAGTAGCACCCTGCCACCAAAGGCAAAGCTTGAGGATGGGAGTATTAGGTGTACTGAGGGTCACTCTGAAATGGAGCGGTCGTCTTCAGGACTCAGCATGTGCACCCCTTCACTTCTGCACTTCAGTCTCGGGGCTGGGGGTTCGCCCCAGAAGCTCCTACGTCTCTCCAACCTCACTTTTAGAACATGTTCTGGTACACGTGGTGTTCTTTTCTTCTGGCTCTGCTTTTAGTCCTCACTGAGTGGTTCTCAGCTGCAATTGGTGCTTCGTGCTCCACTCTTGCAGCTTCATCTATAGCCATGCTCTGCATACCTGTCCACTCCATGTTCTTTGGAAAAGTGTCATTGTCTGCCCGTTCTCGCAGGCAGAAGACCCCTCTGAGCTGGGGCAACTTCACATAGAGACGCCTTCGCCTCTGCCTGGAGTCCCACATACACAGTCACAACACTGGTCAGTGGTAGTGGTGGGACACGGAGCATGACATAGAGCTTACCCCACCTATCTGTGATGCTTCCCACACTGTACGCCTCACACAACTCCTTCCAGGACAATAAGCTGTGCACGTGTGACACTCAGATAGGTAGGCTCAGCTTTAAACACAGCACATGATTTTTTAGGCACACTACAGTCAAAATCACTGACGTGGAACATAAGGAAGTGCCTGCCTACAAACCCTCAGATCCCCCCATCCCTCACTGTCACCCATAAATGCCTCATGGGAGAAGATGGGAGGGAAGGAGTTTTTGACCCCTTACCTCTCAGCGCTCCCACCACAGTGATGGCACTCAGGTGCTTCCGGAAGGCTTGCCCCAGGTCGCAGAGCTGCACCCCCTTCAGCTGGATCTGGCTGGGCTCCTCCGCAAAAGACTGGATGATGAGTCTGGCCCCCAGGTCCCTGGCTCCCAGCACCGCCTCACTCCTGGAGTACACACAGCACTGCAGATGACCTGAAATGCAGGGTGAAGCCAGGGTCCTGGAGCAAGGGAACACACTTGTAGACAAATCTCTTTGGAAGGCACTTCCAGCAAAATGGAAACCCATTATTTATTCTTTCAAGTAATGATCTTAGTTTTACCTTGATTCCCCTCTGTGGATTATTAATTAGACGATGTGATCACCACAACATGATGTTGCCTTCATTATTCCCGGAAGCCCCCCCCTCAATCAGTCATCTTAATGCCTGAACTGACAGACTATAACCTACAAATCCAACCTAAAGCAATGGTTTTTCAACACACAAGATCCCTGAAGGGAATGTACATTCTCACAACTTCACGAATCTGAATGGTATGCGGAGCTCATTCTGACAAAACTGTTAGTTATTGGTGAAGCAATTCCAGCCCCACTAGCCAGCATCTTGGACAGCACGGCACATGTGTGAGTCAGTGACCTGGGTGTGGGAGTCGAGGTCCACGTGCAGCCACAGTGCTGCACCACACCTACCTGAACTCCATGCAGATAGCACCCACATTTTTAACATCTTTGACCTTTTCCCAAATGTTACATGTTACTGGATCCTCCAGTGTCTTGCTGGCCTGCCATCTCTGTTTTGACATGCACAAATTTGAACGCCTGGTCATCGCCCTCCCACCCCAACACTTGCCCCTCTTCCCATCTCAGTGAACAGCCTCATCATCCATCCAGAGCTCATGCCTGGAAGTCATCCTTGACACCCACCACATCCCAGACCAAAGTTGACGAATGATGTCTTCACAACATGTGAAAACCTCATAATCTACAGTCTGGAAAACCCAAACATAACCTACTAAACTAACCATCCCTGAAATCGATGTTTAATAGACATATCAGTGTGATTCAGTGCCTGCTGTTCTGCTAGAAGACAAATGAACTTTGCCCACCACTTACCAAAAGGCCGTGGTAGTTATCTCAAAAAACCAACCCCAAGAGGAGTAGTAGAGCAAGTCTACTCAATAAGAATGTGCTATTCTGTCACTAGTGTTTCCTTGAAAGTCTCAGGGGCCTAGAATCAAAGTTAAGATTACACGGAACCTGTCAAGGCAGTGCAGCCCTCCTGTTTTCATTCCTGAACAGGATTTTTCCCTCTGAAAAATACTTTATTATTTCTTTTGCCTTTCGTCTTTTTTTTCTCTTTCACAAGTTTGCTTGGAAGAGGGGGATGAAATGACAATTTATCAAGCGCATGAGAACATCCTGCACATCCCAAGGTCAAGAGCTTATTCTCTTTTTAAGGAAGTCAACCCTAGCAGTGCCATGTGTCATGTGAAAACAATTTTTCATTTGTGAGACTTTTAACAAAATACTTCTGTACCTTCTGGAACACTGGTCTCCTGGCAGGAATCAAGAAACTTCTTCCTCTCTTGCGTGAGATTTCCTTTTATGGTAATACTCCTGCTGAGCAGAACAACTGTGGCCTTGAAGATTTGGTGCCCTCCCACCAACCAATCCTCTGTGGAGCTGTGAGAATATCTGAGAAAAGGAAAAAGGGGAAGGTACCCCTGAGGACATCACTCCAAATCCTGGGAATCATAAGTCATAAGATTGTTGCAATCTTTCCTTTGAGATTTTACCTCTTTAGAAACCCAAATACCAAAGAGTAAAGCATACTCATCAGTACACAAAAATTGAAATCCACGCTAAGTACTCGTTGCCCACTCGCGGTAATACAGAGTTCTAGAGCTTCCCAAATTATCTACCAATTCTACCTGTCAAATCACTTCGTATTTTATAATTTTCTTATAAATATGTCTAGGATTTTTAATGTAAGACTCCATCCTTAGAAGACAGATGTCCAGTTCAAATTTTGTCCTTTTGCATGTCCCTTAGCCAAGCTGACAACATGTACCTCAGGGGTGACCTGAGACGGAGGTCTCTGTGGTGCACGGTGTCCATGACGACCATCTCCTCCCGTAGGCCAGTGCCTTCAGCCCTTGCCCCACTGACAATGACAGCTTCGTCCCCTGGAAGCCAGTCCACAGCATCCTCCAGAGCTAGCACTGTGTCCCCAGCCTGAGCAGGGGATCGAAGATGGGTGACGGTTACTTTCGGTAGGGAACCTAAGGCAGTCCAAAGGAAACTTGTTTAGGCATTTTAATAATTAATAATAATATGAGGTTACACAAAGAATTCTGTGGGGGGAAAAGTCTGCAAAAGCAAGCCTCAGAGTCATTTAGTGTCATTCTTGCCTTTCTTTTTCTTTTTGGGGGGCCAGGGGCTAAACTTGGGACCTTGTGCTTGCCATGCAGGCACTTATGCTACTGAGCTATCTCCCCAGCCCATGTATCATTTTTGGTCTAGTTGTATTTTTTAATTGAGGTGTATAGGGGGAGGCAACATTACATTACATTAAAAGATACAACAAAAGTGATACAGCATACAGCAGTGAGGTGTGAAAAAAAAATACATGTAGATCTGCCATCACACTATATTTAGATTTGAGCCACAGGTTGCTTGGTAACATGCATGGTCAAAAAATACACTGAATATTTAATTTTTTAAAAAAATTTTCATCATAGTGAGACACGTTGCAATTAATCTTTAAATTACTCCTGCTTGCTTAGCACACACTTATCCCATCATTCTTGTCGCTTCCTGAAGCAGCTCTGGAAGGCCTCTGTCCTGGGTGTCCCTGGTGGTGGTGTTGTGGTGTTAAAGTGGATAACGACAAACTGTAATATTCCTAGAAGCCTGCCTTTCGCAGTGATTTTCACCACTTTTTAAAATCACACTTCATAAAGAGATTCATGAAGAAAAACTCCAGAACTGTTCTTGGAAAATAGTAAGAATGTGGGATAATTTTGTTCAAAGCAAGGGAGAACACTTGGAGGAAGTTTAATGGCAATATGTCTTTTGTTGCAATAATTTTTTAGTTTTAACATTCACTGTATATTCTGATCAAATGGTGCACTTATGGGTCGCATCTAATTTCATCAATTAAACATAGAAGCAGCACCTGGGCGTGGTGGTGCACACCTGTCATCGCAGCACTCCGCAGGCTGAGGCAGGAGGATTGTCGTGGTTTCAAGACTAGCCTGGGCTACAAAGTGAGCTCAAGGCCAGCCGGAACTGCATAGCAAGGCCTTATCTCAAAAAGACCAAGCAAACAAACAAATAGAAGTGGAGTTCTAGCCTAGGGTTTTAGCAGGATTGCCTGAGACAATATGTATGAGACACATACCTTGAATCTTGTGGCATGCCTATAAGATCAATATATTAGTCTTTTATTCTTTCCTCCTTGTATTACATTATGTATTGACAATGAGATTTTTATTACTTTTTTCCTATTACAAAAAGAAAAAAAAATGGTACACACTGAGATAGAAGCCTATAACTAGTTTCCCACAAGAGGATATTAACCAACCTTGCAACTCATGCAAGAAGAATGGAAAATTAAAACTATTTTGGAATGGCTGTCCTAAGCCCAAATGTTTTAATCAATCCCTCCAAACTCTAAAAGTGGGTGTATCCAGGACAGGATCATCAGACAAACTCAAAGAAGAGAAAACTGGTGACTCTAGACATTTTGCTGCGTGCTCTGCCCAGGCACACCCAGCTGACTGCCCCCGCAGCAAACACATTGGCCCTTAACTGCGTGAGACTTAGGAAGGCCGCCTGCCTCACCGTTTAACAGGGACTGTTGCAGCAAGGGTCAGCGCAGATGCTTTTCAAGGCATTATCTAAAGCAATATTTCAGAAAGCGTGTGGCTCACTCCCAACTTCCCTCTCTACCCTCAGTGCATTTCTTCCCTCCTTTCTAATAGATCACAATTTGCCAGCTCACAGCAAATTACTGTCCTCCCTCGTTGCACTAAAGTGAAGTAATAATACGTGGGTCTCTAACTACAGAGATGGCCAACAATATATCATTTTCAAATTATTTTAAACCTCCCCCTTCTCTTGCCTGTGTGTACAGGCTTTGCAACGATAATGTCGTTCTAGGCTCAGAGAGGTCTTTGGGTTAATGATATAATTTCCGAAGTTCACTCAGGCAATAATTTTATTTTTAAAAGTTTTACAGAGTTCAAAATTTCTAATTATAGGGCAGGTGAAAATTAAGACATAAATCATCTCAAAAGAAAATAATTTTAATTTTAGTCCTTATTTGTATATCTTAACCTTTGGGAACAAGAAAATGAAATAAAGTTTATTTATATGTGTACACATATATGTGAATTTCTCTGACCTATACTTGATTGCATGGAGAAATCTTTACCAAGCATAGAAAAATGCTTATCAAAAATAAACACTATTAAAATCTGTGATCAATTGTTCACGTACTCAGTCAACATGTAATAATTATGTATCTATCAACATGCAACCTATGTACAGCAGAACCGACAGTAGGAACAATAAACATATTTTTCTTTTTTACTTTTTTCTTTATGTATCTGGTACAGGGTCTACAGAGTCTACAGGGTCTCACTACGTAGATCCAACTCATAGTGATTCTCCTGTTTTCAGCCTCCCAAGAGCTAGGATTACAGGCATACACCACCACGCCCAGTCTCAATCAAGGTCCCAGCATACCCCAGGGGCAGGGCTGGCACAGCACACTGGGGATTGAACCCCAGCTGCTGTGCTCTGCCTAAGCAGGTGCTTCAGTCTGCTGAGCTATCTGGCTGCCCCAACAAAAATATTTTTCAACTAATCATTCTTATGGTGAAGTCAGAATGAATGAAAACATTAAAGAACCCTGAGGTGCATGTTGAATTTACATCATTTTACCTCTTGATGGAGCCTCTGGAAGGTCATAATTTATTTGATAACATTCACTCTCACCAGAAAAATTACATCTCACCACACAAAACTAAGTGGCAAAGATGTTTTGTGAGTATCAACCTCTCAAGTCTGACCTACTCTCCATATACTCTCCAATCTAAGTCATTTCTCTCCATAGGATTCTTAAAACCTCAGTCAACCAGGATAAAACCTCACTGTCCCATGCAGTAGGTAGGGACATACAAATGACTTTCTATTGTCCCAAACTCTAGGAGTCAAAATATTTGTGACAGTCACCTGAATGAGATTCTCTGAAGACAGCTTCATTGTCTGAACAATTCCTTGTTATGTTCTGTTTAAATCTCTTTTTCTTCTAATGCTTTCATCTGCACCCCTTCTTTGTCCAATAACCTGTAGTATTTCCCAAGAGTATTAAGTAATCAAGCCTCAAATCCCTTTCCTGACTTTTTCAAATTCTTTTTTACTTTTTTTCCATAATTTTATTGAGAAACAACTAGCAATGAGACAGTTTCAAAACAAATTGGTAGGACAGTTTCAATAATTAACACACTGCATACATTCTTCCTAGAAGTTAATTGCTGTACAAGATGCGGAAATGATATACTATTTACAAACACCATTAGAACAAATCCCTCTATTCATTAAGAGAATGTAACTATATATCTATCCTAACCACTTTGAATACACAGATA